ATGGTGACTTTAGTTTGCAGTTCCTTTTTTTTTTTCTTTTGAGATGTTGAGAGTCCGTTCATGTGTTTTTTGGCTAATTATACATCTTCTTTGAAGAAATATCTATGAGGATTCTTCACCTATTTACTTATTTGTTGTTTTACATTATTTGTTATTTTATAAAGTGTGCTAGCTTCTGGTGCACAGCTAAGTGATTGTTATAGACTCTTGAGTCCTCCAACTTTATTCTTTTCCAAAATGGTTTTGCCTATTTTGAGTCCTTTGTATTTCCATATGAATTTTAGGATCAACTTAATAATTTCAGCAAAACATCATCTGGAATTCTGATCGGGGCTGGGTTGAATCTGTAGATCAGTTTGAGGAGTGTTGTCATCTTTTCAATATTAAGACCACTGTTAATTTCCATTTCACTGGTGTTTGTTCCTAACCCTTGAAGTGTCAAGTGTTTTGATGTGTCCACGCGTTTATCATTTTTAACAAGAATTTAGCAGAGACCATTGGTCTTAGTCATGCAAAGAAGAGGCCAAAGAAGTCTATTTATTGCTCATGGTTAGTGAAAGGTATTATTTCGAGTGCCTTTAAAGTCATAGTTTCTGACTGACTCACTATCAGCAGCTTAAGTGCCGATAGCAGCCGTGAGTAGAGAGGATGTAGCTGCTTGAAGTCTTGTTTTTCACCCTAGCTGGGGAGGGAGTGGAGACTCGTCTATGATTTCCAGGGCTGTTGGAAGTGTTTTGTTCTGTTTTGTTTTCCTTGGGGCCTCCAGTGGAGAGGCCAAGCTGGCAGCAGATGAAGTCTACTGTAATGTGAAGCCTGTGAATGTATGTTGGGTCTCTGCCATCATTATCAAAAGTACTGGTGTAGAAATGTGCAAAGGGAAGATTTTCAAATTAAGGTTGGCCTGAACATATAAATGTTAGCTTTCAAAGCTCAAGAAATAGTAAATTGTAGTCCATTAGTCTCCTACATTTTATTGCCTGTTTGGAATAATCATGGTCTTCAGAACATCCTTTAATCTGAACTGGCTTGTGGTTGTATAAGAATGCAGCTTCTTTCTTCTTTATGCTTTATATACTCAGACGAGGAAAATTTACTGCATTTTATAAATAAATCAGAGTTAAAAAGGAAATTTTCTTCCCACCTTTTTATCTTCACAGAGGCACATCTTTAAGGCATTTGAGTGATGCGTTTACACTCAGCTCCACGGCTACTTCCACTGAAAAAAATAATCTTCAAAGTCACTTTTTTTTTTTTTTGCTTCTTACAGGGCACATTATTTGGAATCATGGTAAAAGGAAATACTGTTCTTATATTATTGAGAAGCAAACCCTTTTCTTTTTCAAGTGCTGAAAAATTTAACTTCTATTTCATTACTTTGATGGAAATTAAAATGATACCTCATTAAAATGAATATCATCTTTTTATTTAAGTAAGACAGATATTTTATGTTAAGACAGAAGATTTCAGAGTATGAATGGAGCTCAGTGTGTTTGTGTGGCTTAACTGGGCAGAAATACTGACTTACTGAGTGGTGGTCAGCTTCACCACTGTTAGCTTTGTGGGTGAGGTGGGACTAAAAATGAATTGAGACGCTTCACTCATTTCCTTGTGTCTTCTATTAAATATTACATAGAAAGCAATATTTTAATATAAAACAATACTTGCCATCTGTCAATACTTTTTAATATGTGGAAAGACATTTATTATTATTATTAATGTTACTATACAACAGTCTAGTCAAGGCTATGATTTTTCTAGTAGCCATGTATGGATGTGAGAGTTGCACTATAAAGAAAGCTGAGTGCCAAAAAATTGATGCTTTTGAACTGTGGTGTTGGAGAAGACTCTTGAGAGTCCCTCAGACTGCAAGGAGGTCCAACCAGTCCATCCTAAAGGAGATCAATCCTGGGTGTTCATTGGAAGGACTGATGTTGAAGCTGAAACTCCAATACTTTGGCCACCCGATGCGAAGAGCTGACTCATTTGAAAAGACCCTGATGCTGGGAAAGATTGAGGGCAGGAGGAGAAGGGGAC